ATGGCCACAGTGTCCCCTGGGGGCAGAATCTCCTTACTTTGAGAAGCTCTGTGGTAGGCGGATGGGGAGCAGGGCCAGGTCAGGGTTGAGCCCGGATGCAAGGGTCAGGGGAGTGCTGGAGAGGGTTCAAGGTTTGGGGAATGAAGGCCTGGACCAGCTAAGGGAGTGAGACCCCAAGAAACGTGTCTCTTGAGAACACAAGAATCCCAGACATGAGCTTCTTGGGAGAGGCCAGCCAGTTCACACAAGTCAGAGGGTCCAGATGTCCTGATTCTGAGATTCTGGGACCCCAAGCTCCTGAGATTCCGAGTGTCCCAGATTCGATGTTTCTGCGATTGCCGTTGTCTAAGAATTCCGCGAGCCAGGGGGCTGTGTTGGCCTCTTTGTTTGAGCGGCTCCAGTGAAGCACCTATTTTTAGGTGCTTTGGAGGAAGCAGACCAAGCAGGGTCCCGTATCCAAGACTCCTGGGGGACCTGGGGGCTCATCCAGTGGCCTCCACCGCTGGGAGGGGGTCCAGAAGTCCCTATGGGTCAGACAAGGCACCTTGGATGCAGCCCCCAGTGATGGCCGTGCCGAGGGGCCCTCATTGGCTCCTGCCATCTGGGGTCCCCGAGAGGGTCTGAAAGTGAGCAACTGAAAATGAGAAGGATGTCCGTGAGCAGCTTGAAGCCCAAGCCAGGCAGCTTGGCAAAGTGGCCAAGAATCTAGACATCAGAGTCAGACAGATCCAGTTCAAGGCCAAGCAGGAAACTGAAGGGCATGCCTTTCTTGCTCCAAGCCTGTTTCTTCCTCGATATAAGGGCAACAGCTATGGCCCCAGTCTCAAAGGGCCAGTGATGGGCGCCAAGGAAGATCACAGAATAAATGCTCAATCCAGAGAGTCGGCAGTGGGGGGGAGGAAGGGGGGCGGTTTGCCCAGGTTGGGGTTCAGGGTTGGCTCAGACATCCCCCAAGTTGGAAGGTAGAGGCTTGACTGAGAACCTCAGGCCCACTCACTCCACACTCTGGGGCCCCATGAAGGCAGACAGTATGCACTGCTCAGCCCTTAGTTCCCTGGTCCCAATGCCAGGCGTGCACCAGACTCTTCAGAAATCCATATAGACCGTCCCAGCCCCCCAAGCTTCAGGTGCACCCAGGAGGCCAACCAGAGAAGCCAAGCATTGGGTGAGGGGCTGCAGGTGAGGCCACGGGGGCTCCAGGCCAACAGCCATGATGGAGGACAGAGGAGGCAGTGGATTCATCCATATCTAGGTGGAGGAGTTTGGAGGTAGCCCCTCTAGGAGTGCTCTTGAGGGGCTCCCAGGACTAGGCAGGGATGAGGGAGGGCCCAGGTTTCAGCATGGAATGGCAGTCTCAGAGGCTGTTCCTATTTATAGGCATCACAAGACTCCTAGGGCAGGTGCCTAGGGAAGGCGGGGTGGAATGGGCTAAGAGGGCAGTGGGGCACTCTGTCTGAAGCCCAGGCCCTTCTCCACCTTCCAGGCCATGACCCTACTCCAAGTCAAGCCCTAGCCCCATGCCCCAGATGCTCAGCGGTACCATTAGGAGTAGACCTGTCCCCCCTCAGCAGCCATACCCCCGCCTCCTCCCCAGGCACATGCCCTGGACCCTGGTAGACTCCCCGGAGGAGTGAGCACACATCTACCCACCTACCTACTTTCTCCCTCTCTCCAGACCTGCGATTTTTCTTTTTCTTTTTTTGGCCACACCACATGGCACATGGGAATTTTAGTTCCCTGACCAGGAATTGAACCCACGCCCTCTGCAGTGGCAGTGTGGAGTCTTAACCACTGGACCACCAGGAAGTCCTCAGACCTAGGACTTCTGCCAGGTAGAGTAGAACACCCAATTCCTCAGGGCCAGATCCAAAGAGGGCCCTAGGCCCCAAAGTCCATTCCCCAGGACTCCCACAGAGTCAAAGTCCTGGACCTGCCCTGGTCAGCTGCATGACTTGGGACACGGTCTTGCCTCTCTTTGGGCCTTGGTTCCTACACTTTGGGGGAGGGTATGGTTCTTTGAGCAGGGGTCTTGCCCTCTCGTCCCCCTGCATGACACCTTCAGGTACTACTAGTCACCTCCACACCACTGCACGTGTGGAGGCCCCTGTCTGGATGTCCCCTGCCCCCTGCCTGACTCACTGTTCCTCATCCAGGACTCTGGGATGTCCCCCAGCCTGGCCATCACCCATTGCAACCTCTGCAACTATGTCTTAACAGCTCGTGGCTGGTCTGTCTGTCTGACCCCAGATGGCAGGGTCCAGCGGGGGCGGAGGTGGAGTGTATGCTTGGTCCCTGGCTGCGCACCAGTGTCCAGCCCCAAGGAGGTGAGCATTCCATGCTCTGTAAGTAACTGAGCCTCATGAGCCTTACTAAGGTGAGCTGGGACAGGTCAAGGATGCCCTGACATAGGGTGGTGGTGAAGGATGCGGGCTGTCAAGCTGGGTTACTGCCTGGCTGTGGGCCCTTGGGAAATTGACTTGACACTTTAGGATCTGAGTTTCCCCATCTCTAACACTGGATAATGATAACCGATGTTACCCCACACGGTTCTTTTGAGAATGACAGGAGATGATCACATAAAGGGCTTGGTATGTAGGAGACCCATGATGAAGTACTTGGAGAGTCCTAGAAACCAAGGCCTTTAGAGCAGGCCAAGGAGATGAAGGGAGACACGGAGCGCATCAGCCTACACAGCACCCACCACTCCTCAGCTACACCAGGCTCCAGCCTGGCCCTTGACTACACCAGGCTCCTCCTTACCATAGGGCCTCTGCACATGCTGTTTCAAATTCCACCCCTTCAGGGAGGTTTTCCCAGGTTCCCCCAGGCATGATCCTGGCACTCTATTTAATACCCTCACAGCTCTTGTCACTACCTGCCCGTATGTTATTTACACAGTTGCTTGTTGTCTGTCTCCCCTATTAGAACGTCCGGTCCCTGAGGGCAGGGACTCTTGTCGCTTTTGCTTACAGCTGTATCCCCAGCAGCTAGAACACAGCCTGGCACATGGTAGTTGCTGAGTATTTAATGAGGGAATGACAACTCTTTAGGTGGGGATGGTGCGAGATCCCCTTTTGCTGGGAAACCAAGGCAAAAAGGGACGGCTGTCATCCCTGACTGCCCAGTCTCTCCCCGGCCACTAGGGGGCATAAGCTGTTTGGGCCCCTGGTTCAGAGGTGGGACTCACCAAGACGGTGCAGCAAGAAGGAACTGGAATAGACTGACGGGAATGGGGGCATACCTGGAGAACAAGTGGGTTCACGGAGGGGAGCTCGGGGGTGCTAAGCTGAGCATCTGGACCCCATTAGTATACTCAAAGAAGGAAGCCAGGCAGACCTGAGTCAAGTCCCAGCTCCTTGCTCTCCACCGGGGTGGGCCTTGGTCAGGTCATTAGTTCCCGAGACCTCTGTTTTCACAACTGTAAAGTGGGCAACTAAGCAGAAGGCAAAGGCTCTGAACCCAGGCAGAATCAGGATCCCAACTCAGCCCTTGATGGGCTGGGTGACTCGGCCCTCCCTGAGCCTTGGGGACCTGGCTGGATGCTCCCCTCAGGGCCACAGGGCCCACCCTCTTACCAGAAATGCCACCTCTGCCATCCAGAATGTCTCGAGGGCCCTCCTTGGTGACAGGCAGGTAATGGGCAGACCGGAAGATGCAACCTTCCCCCTCAGCAACCTCGGCCCCACCTTCGATGTCCTCCCTTGGCGCTGGGCCAGGCAGTCTCTCAGGGCCTCGAGGGCGATCTGGGGCGGCCAGGCCGCCTGCCAGGGGCCCATCCATAGATGCCTTCTGCTTGGCTCCACTCAGCTGCTGGCCCGGCTCAGTGAGGCATTGTAGGTCTGGGGGGTGGGGGGGCGGAGGGGGTAGAGAGACAGGTGCTCAGGGGAGGCTGGAAAGGGATTCTGCCTCAGTTTCTCCTTCCTCGAAGCCCCTGTTCTCACCCTTGTGGCTTGGTGCCTCAGTTTACCGCCCAAGCACAGATGAGCAAGTCCATAGTGCTGAGGCCCTATCCCTACACGTTGATCTCAATGGTCTCTAATCTCAGCACGCCTCGGCTTTCGTCCACAACTCCTCTCTTTGCACTGCCTCAGTTTCCCCCACTTTACAGCATTCATGCTCAGATACCTTGTTTTCTTGCAGCATTAAACCTATTACTTCTCCTAGATGCCTCCCTTCATTCATTCGTGGTTGCACTTTTCCCAGTTGTGAACTCACTTCCATGCACATGCATATCCTATGTGCGTGCCTCAGCACTGCTACACTCTGATCCCATACACTGTCTCAAGTCCCCCCATCATTACCCCTGCACTTTTCTCACTCCTGTTGCCCGAATCAGTTACCCCTCACTTTTCCCACACTCCAACCCTCCGTCCACACACAACCTTAGGGTTCTCCAGCATTAACCCTTTCACCCTCACACTCAGCCACAAGTGACCCCAGCCTTAACCCTCTTGCTTCACCCCAACCTTACCCCTCATGCATACCCAGCCTGGGTTCCTCCATCCCACCCTCCCAAGATCTCTCTAGTCTGCGGGCAAAAGGGAAGGATGGAGCTCCTGGTCCAGAAATGAGGACCCTGGGGAGGCCACGGGGGGTGGGGGCTGTCTTCTCCACCTATAAATACCTTCAAGGTAACGGCGGAAAGTGAAGGGCAGGAATGAGGCGCCCTCCCCAGGGAGATGGTAGGGAGGCCGATCCCAGGCAACCGGGGCGGGGCCGGGGCTCCAGGCCTGGCTGCAGGCGCTGCCCTCGAGGGCCTGGGGGCTCCCAGGGGCCTATCCGTGGACTGGCCGTTGTGGTGGGGGTCCCTGCTCAGGCCCCGAGGAAGCACCTGCGGGTGCCCACCGGGTGGGCACTGCCCGCGGGGAACGGGCGGGACCGCAACTTCGGAGCACTTTGGCAGCGTGGGGAAGGGGGTTCCCTCCTGGACGCCCCCGGGGGTCGCAGGGGTGGTGGCGGCGCCGCGCCAGCACACCCCTCGGGGCGCCAGGGTCCACGCGATGCGCCCTCCGCCCGTGCACCTCGGGGCGGGAGACCCCGCAGGACACGCCGAGGTGGGGGGGGGGGAACACCTGCCCCAAGACCCCCGCTCCTCCCCACAACCTGTGCGGCCCCGCCCCCGACCAGGCCCCGCCCCTACAGGCCCCGCCCCCGCCCCCCGCCCCGGGGGGTCCCGCCTGGCCCGGCCCGGCCCGGGCCTCCCCCTCCCCGTGCCGGCTCCGCCCCGCCCGCGGGCTCCCCAGGCCGGGCCGGGCCTCACCGGGGAGGCGGCGCCGCAGGCTGGGCGCCGGGGCTCGGCGCTCCCTTCTTTGGTGCGGCCGTCGCTGCCGCTACCGCCCTTGCCGCTCCCGGTGCCGGTGCCGCGGCCTCCGCAGCCGCCGCCGCCTCCACCGCTCGGGGGACATTGTCCCTTTAAATCGCTCCCCCCGCCGCCCCGCCCCCCCGGCGCGCCGCCGTGACCTCAGCGCGACAGCCCCGCCGCGCCGCCATGATGGGGAGGTCCGGGGCGCCCCCCCCCGCCCCCCCCCCGCGCCAACCCGGTGGGGGGGCAGCCAGCAGGCGCGCCGCCATTTTGGGAGTGGCCAGAAGGGTGACCCTTAAAGGGCCCGCACGACCTGAGAGTCCAGGGAGAGGCTCTGTTACCATGACAACACTCTTGTCCTCCTGTCCCCAATGGCTCTTCATCACCCCACAGGTTCTTCCAGTGCTAGGCCCGCTAATAGCACTGGAAGAGTGGGGATGGGGCAGAGAAGTTCCCCCATGGGTCATTCATAGGTCATTGAGGACTCCACATGGCCAATCCCTAGCCTTCAGACCCTGCTACCTTCCAACCACGAGCTCGTTCCCTCCTTCCCCATTACCTACACTGGACTTCAGTACTTTCATGCCCCTAGAGCTGGCCTAGGTCCCCAGTGCAAAGCCTCCCCTTTCCACTCAACCCCCAGGATCACAGTTGCCAAGACGACCCCATAATGTACACAATGCTACTTCTCCCACCCATCACCCATCTACATGTCCAAACTACCCATTCATCTCTCCACCCATTCACCCACACACCCAACCACTCATTTACCCATCCAGTAGATTAACCACCTAGCCATCCACCCCTCCAACCACCTATCCATCCATCCATCCATCTATCCACCCATCCATCCAAACACTCACTCAATGACCATCCACCTCCCATCAACCTACTCATCCATCCGCTACCTATGTAAATACCTACTTATCCATACAACCAAGCAAGCATCCACCCATCTCTGCACATAATCCTTTCACCCAGTCACCCAAAAGTGAAGTTACTCAGCCGTATCCAACTCTTTGTGACCTCATGGACTGTAGCCTACCAGGCTCCTCCGTCCATGGGATTTTTCAGGCAAGAGTACTGGAGTGGGTTGCATTTCCTTCTTCAGAGGCTCTTCCCAACCCAGGGATGGAACCTGGGTCTCCCGAATTGTAGGCAGACGCTTTACATTTGAATCAACAGGGAAGACAGTCACCCAAACACCTATCCATCAATTGCATTTTTGTCTTCTCCACTAGAGTGTAAGCTCCATGAGTACAAGAGTCTGTCTGTGGAGTTCAGAGACCTCAACAAATGTACATGCAGTACATATAACTGCTTACTCATTTAATTCAAATATTTATTTCCTACTATGAACAAGGCCTTTTCTAGACAGACATAGCCATCCCAGCTAACCACCTACTCAACTACTCACCTACCAGGGCAAACATCCAGCAAATGCTTAACTTATTCATCTGCCTGTTGTCCTATCCACCCTAACTCTCACCCATTTACCCACTCATGATTCAAGTGCCCATTCATTTTTTCAACCACCACACACAGAGTTTAACCTTTTCTATATCTACCCACTCCTTCTTTCATCTGCCTCCCAGACTCACGCCCTCACTGAATCAAGGAGCCAGTGTTGGAACTGGAGTGCTAGGAAGATGCTCTCATCTGAGATCTGGAAATTAGTGGAGATGAGATCTGGGCTTTACTGAGAATCAACTGCTACCCCTAACAATGACCAATACCTTTTATCAAACACTTTAAACTATAGGTCTTTTACTGTATAAGGAACTTTAAATCCATTTTACAAATGAGGAGATCAAGGCTCTGAAAGTGAGGGACTAAGGTCACACGCTGGTGAGAATCTCCCTGCATCGCCCCCCCCTCCCTTGAAACCGGCAATTAGGGGAGAGTTTGAGAGAGCTGGATTGAGGGGAAGGAGTTTGCTTCCTGACTGGCAAAACTCAGGGGCAAAAAAACCATCGATTTTTACTGAAATCAAGATTTTACTGGGTAAGCTGATAGTGCCAGACTGTTTGGCACCGACAGCTCCACTCCCTACTGTAGGCCACGTGGGTTTGAGGCAGGGGGTGGACAGGCCCCTTAGACGGCTTTCTCTCTGCTCCCAATGCACGTTGGGCCGAGTGGGCAACTCAAGTGGTGTCTCCGTTGATGCAGGGAGATTTGAGGGGCAGGGGCTGGCTCTGGGACTCCGATGTCCTGGGAAGAAGCTGCAGGTTCTGGATGGTATCCTTCAGCTGGGCCTGAGTACTCTCTATCTCAGCCAGTCGGCACTCCTGGGGAGGCAGCGGCAGTGGATTCAGAGCGCGGGGGGTGGGGGTGGGGAGGGTTGCATCCCAACTCGTGTTCGCTCACCCAGCCTAAATCTGTCCCGGGGCTCGGCCATGGGTCTCACCAGACTTTTCAGCCTGTGGCCCTCATTGGTTGGAGGATCGCGCCCTGGATCCAACTTCGCAGTCCTGTAGGGATTACGGGTGAACGGAAAGAGTCAGAGGCCGAGGGACTCCCCTAGAGCTCCTAGTTGGAGTCAGGGACTCCCGCGCTGAGCTTGAGATGGAGGTGGGGTTTATCCAGCCTGGGGGTGGGGCCTAGATACGTTGGAAGAAGGGGCTGAATTAGAACCTGGACAGGCTGCGATTAAAGGACCAATCAACCAGTCCTGCGTGAGGTCGTGAGCAGGATAGGGGCGGGCCCAGCCTAAGAGATAGCGGGTCTGTCCCAACTTGTTTGGAAGGAGCTGACTGAGGGACTTCACGAGAGGACCTCCCAGAGACCTCGGGTGGATGGAGGTGACCAAGAAGCGGGTCTTAGATGTGTAGGGGCGGGTCTTACAGAGGGGGCGTGGCCGTGCCAGGCGTGATTTGGGTGGACTTACTGGGAGGCGGGGCCTGAGCCGATCTCTCTTTAGCAAGGCCGCCTGGGGCGGAGCTAATAGAGGGGGCGGGGCTTACCCTCCCCGGAGCCTGGAATCCAGGAGCTGAAGCTGGGTCCGAAGCTGCTCCTGCTGCTCGCTCAAGGACCGGATGTGGGTGCTGAGTGACTCCACGAGGCCGGACAGCGCCTTCAGATCCTGACGCAGGGCGGCCACCTCGCACTGAAGCTCCGCCAGCTGTGGGGAGGGAGCAACTGTAACCTGAGCCACTGTCCTGCCCCTTCTCCCCACGGACCCTGACTGACCTCCCTGTTCCCCTTAGCTCTGCCTCCTCGCCGCCCTGCCTATAGGGTAATGAAGCTCAAATTGTACAGAAGAGGAAAACTGAGGCTCAGAGAGGGTTGGGTTAGGCCTGAATCACACAGCACAGCAAGCTCGGTGTTTGAACCGAGACCTGCCTATCTTTCAGTCTTTTTCCAATCCTGTCTCCCCACTCTAAGCGCGGACCTGAGCTGTACACCTCACCTTGCCCACGGGTCGGTGGGTGCCCAGCGCCTGGTCTTTGTCTCTTGGTTGGTCCATCTGGCGCTGCCAGGGCACCGACGGCTTCCGAGGCAGCGATGCTGAGGCTCCAGTCCAGGGCCGGCCGCGTGGCGCGGGTCCCGCGTGGAGGGAGCCTTTGGGTCGCGGCCGCGGTCCGGCAGACGGGCGGCGGCGAGCGGGGCGGCCAGCCGGGACACTCTGCGTGCGCTGTACTGGCCGAGGCAGCCGCGGGGGCTGTTCCTCCTCCAGCCGCGGCCGGGCCCAACTACCTGCGCCGTGAACGCTGCGCAGGGACTGACTCTTGGAGATGAGAGGGGTGTGCTTGGGGAGGTCGCGGGGGGCCAGAAAGCCAGGCTTCTCCCCTGCAGAGATGCTGGGGGTGGGATGGGGAGCTCAGACGTTCCACCGGTTTCTGAGCTGACCCCAGCTCTACCTTCCACCAGAAATAACTCCATCCCTGATCTTTTACTTCTCTGCAAGCCCTGTGACTGAAGGGATCCCATTTTGACTTGTGATCCTGTCCTGGACTTCCGATAATACTGTTCCTTCTATGACTTCAATCTAACCTTTGATTCCTTTGTCCCAGAGCTCTGACACAGTGTTACCCTTGACTTGAGCCTCTGTGTAATCTCTACTTCCAATCTGCCGGAGCTTGTCTGCATGCTAAATCACTTCAGTCCTGCCTGACTCTTGGCAATCCTAAGGACTGTAGCCCACCAGGCTCCTTGTCCATGGGATTCTCCAGTCAAGAATACTGGAGTGGGTTCTCATGCCCTCCTTCAGAGAATCTTCCCAACCCAGGGGTCGAACCTGCGTCTCTTACATCTCCTGAATTGGTAAGCATGTTCTTTACCACTAGCACCACCTGGGAAGCCCACGGGAGCTTGACCTCTGCTCAAAACTGTACCCTCTTCCTTCCTAATCTGACTCCCTCTTGTCCCCAGCCTCTGACCTTCAACTGAACCTGTCTCTGCCTTCTGAAAGAACATGATCCCTGACTTCTGACCCCCAAAATGACTCTGGCCTTAAACTTTGACCCCATCTCCCTCTGGGCCTGACCTGAGATCTGCCCCCCATTGCTGAGAGTGACAATGTCACTTTCTCTCTCTGACCCTAGATGTGGCCTCTGCAATGTCTAATCCCCACTTCAGATTCCAGTCTGACCTGATGCCCCCCTCTCTGACGGCACTGTTAGCCTCTCCCTGACCCCTGAGATGACCCTGTCAGCAGCCTCTGACCTCCATCCTACAATGTCTCTGATGATGAACATGACCCTGTCTCTGACCCCTGAGATGATCCTGCCTTCACCTCTGACCCCGTGCATGCCTTTGGCCCTTCGCCTACTCCCACCCATCAGAACTGGATCAGGTCAGACTCGAGGCAAGTAGTTACCTGGAATGGCCCTGGGTGCGGGGTGCTGGGAGACACATTGGCACAGTCACAGGTACAGGTCGGCCCTCTTCAATGGCATGCAGAATAGTGGGTAGCGGTTCCAGATTGTCCCGGGTGGCCTGGTAAAGCATGCAGGGAGGATGCTAAGCAAACTTTCCAGGACCAGAGACCCCTACTCTCTTGCCTCCCTACCTCATGTTCTGGGCTCTGTGCTCAAGCCACACCTGGTCAAGTTCAGCAAAGATGGTACAGAGCTGGGCATGCAGGACTGCCAGCTGGAGGGCCAGGTCACTGCTGCCCTGATAACCACTGGGTGCTGTGTCTGCATCCACCGTGGC